TCACACTGGGAGAAGCTGTTCCACATGCAGACATGTGAAAGGTTGGAACATTTATTTCCCCACATGCTTTGAACAGCTTTCAAGGATATATTCAACATATATTACTTTTGTAGATGTTGACATTAAAATATCTAGTTCGGCAATTAAAACTTCATATAACTGGAACTTTGGTTTGGTGTTTGCATTCTTCTGAACATCATAAATCCCTCTGCACACTGTCTTTGATCTATAAAATGACAGACATTCTAGGTACTGCACAGTAAAAGTGGGACACTTTAGAAGAATTGTAATCTTCCAAATGTCTCTCTTTGTTAAAGCTCTATAAATGTTGAAGAAAAAGCAAATGTTTTAGAAGGTCTTTGTGAGGGCTGCTGAGCATCTATATGTTCTTCATGTCTTAGCTCTGAAAGAAGGGAGAAATCAATGATATACAAAAATAACTTGAAAAGGGTTCAAGAGAAAATTGACTTAAATTTAACATTTTCCAACTTCTCCTAAAGAAAATCAACTCTGCCTGTTTTTTGCTCTCTCTCTCTCTCTCTCTCTCTCTCTCTCTCTTTCTCTCTCTGTCTCTCTCTCTCTTTCTTGACTCTCTCTGTGTGTATGTGAGAAAAAATGAGGCAGAACAAATGCATTTTGATCATAATTTTACACATTAAAAATAAATTTTAACTGTGTTTAAATCCTGACAAATAACCCTGAATCTCAAGTTCATACCTCTATAGATGCACAGAATATTTTTGTGAAGGATACCATCTGAGCTGTTGGTATCATACAATGATCTCACTGGATATTTTCAAGTCATGGAACATTATTACTTCCTCAAAATTAAAAGTCATTTCAGTGACTAAACATTAGATGTCATTTGCTACCATTAGCATGTATCATGATAAATATCACATGGCTTCAGAAATATGATGTATTGTTCTTGTTGGGAAGAAAGCCGACCATTACTGAACAAAGGGAAAGCAGACATTTTGTGAAATTTTTCTTTTATGGAGTAACAGGAGATGGAAATATCTTTTAAAATTAAATAATGCTTTATGCAGCATTAATAGCATGGGACAGAAAATACATGATTAGATCTAAAGCAAAGATAAGAGAGATAGTAATGAGGGAGAGGTAGAAGGATGAAGGCAGAGTATTGTTCCACACATGAAGTGGTTAAGTGTCCATCCCAGGCTTACCATCATCCTGGGAAATGGTATATGCCATAGGTAAAAATTTCACCTGCTCCCAGGATGCTAATAGGTTTGTAAGGACCAATATGCAAACTGGAGTGCATACAATGAGATCAAATGCTTCAGTGAGATCTTGCAATGCTGTGGAAGCAAAGGGAAAGAACAAGGTAGTTGTCAACTAGCTCAGCATAAAGTGAGAGAAGAGGATTCTGGCAAGGCATACTTGCTCCTTCCTATTTTTCTCTTCTATTATTTTTCTTTCTAGCTATTTCTATAGCAAGTAAAGAAAAGGAACCTGAGAGAACCTCACACTCTGAGTTACAGGCTAATTCTATTAACACATAAATAAGAAAATTCTCATATCTGATTCCTCTCAAGGGGAAATGTTTTTTATTTACTTAGCTTCCCTTGAGTAATCCTAGAAAAAGAGTAAGAACATCCTTCAAAAATAAGGTACATTATTGGTTAGAAGAAATATACCTGTCGTTAAAGGCACGAAGTAATTCTTTGAACTTCTTTTGTGTCAGGTTGCATTTAAGGCACTGGATATATGATGCCTCAATTAAACATTGTAGTAAAAACATCAGAACATCACAGTTTGACAAAGGCCTCTTCTGTTAGTTCATGTAGAACACATATCCTTCCCTGTATGTCTGGGCAGATGATGGGGACATTTGGAAGCATGGGTTCTAAATGAGTATACAGGGTAAGAAAGGCATCAGTGTCCATTGTTGGGGCTATCAAGCATTAACTGCTCCCATATAGCTCAAGTGTTATGTCTTGAATTCTAAGGGGATTTGGTTTCACAGAAGTTCTAACCCAGAGATCAATCATATATTCTCATTTTGAACTCTCT